TTTAAGGTAACGTCAGGCACTTAATGAGATTTTTAAATCAGATCCTTGTAATGTGGCCTGTGAAGTGTGCTATAGCAAAATGTGGTGAAGAAATCAGATAGTACGTGGCCATCAGAAAAAATAGCACCTGGAGTCTAAAAAGACTGGTCTGAAAACAAGTAACCAGCTAAGTGAGGCATCAACTAAGTTCACTAAGAAGAAACACACTTCTGTGTGATCCAAGGATCATAAATAATAAAATCTAAATCCAGAGGAGGGATTGTTATCAGAGTTTAAATTCTGAACACCCAGTTTGCAGAAGGCTATGGATGATAGCAGAAGCCCAAATTGCAGAGTTCCCAGGAAGATTAGGCCTATGACCATAGTCCAGAGATGTGAATAGCTTTTTTATCAGCTAAAGTACATTGTAAAGCATAGTAAGGTAGATCTAATAAGGTTAAAATGTAACTCCTTATCATCCAATTTCCCTTTTGACCCATTTAAAATTTGTTCCTGTTTTTATTTTATGCATTCTTTTTAATTGAGCTTTCCTGTTTCCTTTTTTGGTCTCTTGATTTTGTTTTGTATGTTTTACATTATATGAACTCCAGGATAAGAAAATCTATAGAGTCAGTAACTGGATTAATAATTACCTGGGATCATAGCAGGGGAGGTAGGAGAGTAATGGAAGGAGAACATTGTAGTGGGTATGAGAAAGAAGAAAATGTTGTAAAACAGTGTGGTGATGACTACACAACTCTTCTTCATATGATTGAACTATTGAATTGTATAAAATGTGAATTATATGCCAATAAAAATAAGCTAAAGAAAACAAAACCTTAGAACACATGTACTTTGACATTCGTGGCTTGTGATGAGTTGTAATCAACTCAACAGCAGCTGGTTCTTAGATTTATTTATTTAGCACATTTTATAAAAATCAGTCACAGTTGAAGAATCATGTAAAAATAATAATAAAAGTTTTTTTCTACATCCTTTGAAATTATTGAGATATAGAAATAGGGATTTTGAGTATTGAAAAATCATAATGTAAGGCTTTAAACAGTTAAGAGTGAAGGTTGCAAAGTAAAAGAGAATAACCACTAAATGATGATATGTTAAAAAAAATCTTGCAATTAGGGTTCCATTTAATACATGCACTGTTTTTTTTTTTAAACAAAGCTTGTTTAAATATGCCTCTGATCAGCAGATGGCTGCAGACAAGTTCTCTCAGCAATACACTATGTATTATGATGTTGCATTAGGGAACTTTCAAAGAAAAGTCTCATCAAAAGTGACTTCTCAGGGGATCTGCTGGGCCAATGCACCCAGGGAAGAGAGGTCAGTTGAGATGGTTATGGGCAGATTCCCAAAGGACGATTTTGTTAGATTTTCTGGAAGTAAACAAGAAAATCATAGGGCTTATGAAAGCATTTTCATAAAATTGAAAACTGCAATGGTAAGAAAAAAGAGACCAAAAAAATTGTGCAGCACAACTTTCTCCCCACACCTGACAATGCACCTATGAATTTTTGAAAGGTACAGGATTTTGTTGGGAAACCTTACCCTGCCCACCCTTCATCCTGATTTTCCCCATTTAGTTTTGTTTGTGATTCTGAAACGCAAAGGACAATTGAAAGGGACACAATTTGAATCCCTCAAGGGATACCAGCACTGCTTTCCCACATGACATAAATGGAAGAGTAGCGAGTTCGTCAGGGAAGAGTTAGAGAGATGGGAATACTACCTTCAGAACCGTGTTGCCCTAAATGGAAGATATGTCAAGAGCTAAGAGCTTCACATTTTTATACTTTTGCATAATATGAGATTTTTTTTTATTTCATAGCAATACGCTTGAATTGTGTCAGAGGGAAACAATAGCAGCAAATTGTGTCAATTTTGAAAGCTTCAGAGAAATATTGGGTGGTTCTAGTATGTCCTAAAGGGCCAGAATCATAGTAATGATTGCAATATTAAATATTGACGGATTCTGCCTGCAAACTTTTCTCACAGCATAATGAAAACTAAAGAAATAAAACATTATTTATGGATATTTTGGGAATACGAGACAGATTTTTACCGAATCATTTTATTTCTTTATTTTTTCAGAATCATTTTAAAACCTACAAACCATCTGAAAATCAAGGGCACTGCTGTAATATCTTTGAGGTGGAGTTAATACCACCAGAAAGAGAAATAGCTTAATTTCTGAATTTCCTTGTATCTGTGTTTGAGCAATGGCATGAGCTAAATATATTTTATATTTAGGTACAAATGTTTAAAAATGCCATTAAGGAGGAAAGAGGGTAATTAAACAACATTAGTGCATGGTATTTATTTATTAAGGGACATTTTGTCTTCCAGTCTAACAACGATGCAATCTAACAACAATGATCATAGCCTAGTCTTTATAACCAAGAATATAATTACTCCTAATTAGTTTTTGTCCATAACCTAACTATAAGAACATAATCTTATAACTTTAAAAATGCATATATATTTTAGATGCACATAAAGAGGCCAGGTTAAGTAGCAATGTGTACAAATTAAGATAAATATATTTAATCAACTATTCCTTATTTACCTCTTAAGAGGGAAAGGTGAGTTATATTTCATTTTATATTTTGTTTAAAGATTTATGATGCAGCTTAGTTTTCTGTGTAACAAGGATTAAAAAGCCTTGTACTAGTAAATATTCCAAGACTTGTAATATTAAGGCCTGTAGGAGATAAAAGATAATTGCCATCGCATATTTTGTGTGCTCCTTAAAAGTCAGTACTAGCAGCAAGGTGCTGAAGAGAATAGAGCTTAATAGATTTCTCAAATTCTGTCCAAATAATTCTCCATTTGCATATATATTTAAAATGTTCCAACAAGCTGATGAAGCACTGGAAGCACTCGTTTTATATGCTAAAACATTCGGAAGACACTTACCTGGCCCACTGACTGCAAAACAAATCCACATTTGTGCCCATTACAGAGGAAGGTAGTCCGACAAAATGTGGAAATTATTGAACAATATCAATAATTTCACATGCAGGTAAATAATTGCTAAATTTTCCTCGGAGGCAAGGATTACAAACCAGTTGCAGCAGCACATTGACCGGGAGCCAGAAACTCGAGCCAGATCCAGCAGGGGATTGGACAAGGAATATCAGTGTGGACTTCAAATGGATCATGGCTGAAAGCAGAGAATATCAGGGAAAAGAAACAGGTTTAATTCTGTTTTGTTAGCTAAGCACATGCATGCTTGTGCGAATCACATGGATACCATTGGATCCGTGAAAGGGAACTCCCGAACACCTCGCTGTGCTCACATGAAACCTGTACATGGACCATGATGCAGTTGTTCGACAAAAACAAGGGACTACTGCCTGGTTTGCCATCAGGAAAGGTGTGTGTCACGGTGGTATCTTTTTATCATTTATACTCCATCTGTATGCTGAATAAATAATATGAGAAGCTTGATTAAATGAAGAAGACCATTACATCAAGTTTGGAGGAAGGCTTATTAACAACTTGCGAAGGCAGGTGGCGCACCGTATTTGCTGTATACCAGGGAGACTTGGAATACTTGCTGGTGGAAATCAAAGACTTCTGCCTTCAGTCTGGATTGCAATTTAATGTAATGAAAAAGAAATTCTCCCACCCAAACCAATAGACAGCATCCTGAAATATGAAGAAAAGACTGAAGTTCATAAAGGGTTAATTTTGCTTGGATCTCCTGTCAATCCTCACGGAAGTTCCAGCCCAGCAATCAAACAACACATTGCACTTGACAAATCTGTTCTACAAGACCATGTTAAAGTGTTGGTGAGGAAGGACAGCACTTTGAGGACTAGGATGAGCCTGCCCCACCTCAGGGCCTTTCCAGTCACCTCCCCTGCGTGTGCAAGTTTGGCAATGGAAAAGGAAGCCTGCCAAAGGACCGATGTGCTTGAACTTCCATGCTGAAGAAGATGCAAAGTATTACGGACTGCCAAAAGAACAAGCAAATTGGCCTTGGAAGAAGTACTGCTAAAGTCTACTCAGATGTAAAAACAGCAAGACTTTGTCTAACGTACTTTGGACGTTTTATTAAGAGATCATCCCCCAGAAAAGGACATCATTCTTAGTAAAATAGAAGGTGAGTGAAAAAACAACACTGAACACTGAGCACAGTGGCTGCAACTGTGGAGTCATTCACAACAGTTGTGTCGATGGTACAAGACTGGGTCATATTTCATTTCATTGTACATAGGAACAGCATATATATTATCATGTGCAGTTTACTAAGTTCCAACACATATCACTAGTGAACGACAGAGCATAACTACCTCACAGGGTTTTATAGTTTGTAGTCGTTATCAGAGAAGGTCACTGCTGGGGTAAAACTACCAACTGGTTTGAAGGACAAACCATTTAGTTAGCAGAAAAACACAAGCTTTGTGCCACTAACTCTTCACACACACACACACACACACACACACACACACACACACACACAAACACATACACACGGCAGGATATGGAGGAGATGGGAGACAATATATTTGAAAGTACCTTGACTAGACTTGGCTAAAATTTTAAACCTATGATTGTGTAAGCTTGGGTGAATCATTGATGTGATTTTGGTAAATTTTCCTGTTCTCTAACAATTATACCTCCTTGCTATGGTGGTTGAGAAACCCAAAGAGACATTGTATATAAAGCATTAGAGTTATGATGAGTATTTACAGATTAAATTTTATGTCCTTCAAGTAATCACTTTTTTCTAATAAACCACAACTTGAAACTATGAAATTAATGTAAAAAGTAAAATGTACTATATTCACATAAAATATAAGAGAATATTTTCGAAAATGAATTGGGGTGAATGAGTGAGATCGAAAATGAACTGACTCAAGACGACATACAAATGTTCGCTAATGTAGCTAGAACCAAATCAAATACAACACCACTTTCCTGGATAAGGGAATGGTATGTTTGTCTGTTTCCTGCCATTAAGTGGAATTTTAATTTTCTTGCATATGTTGTTTCAGAGGCAAGGGCCCTTTGAAAAACACATCTGATGTCATTAATGCTGCCAAGAAAATTGCTGAAGCAGGTTCTCGAATGGACAAATTAGCGCGTGCAGTGGCTGATCAGGTAATATCAGAAGGAGACTGAGCAGATTCTAAGTGGAATCATTAATTAGCACTTGGGTTTGCTAATGGATTTTATGCATCCTATAAAGTGCCTGTGGAGAATGAATTGCGGGGTATCTTTAACATTTACAAACTAGCCTCCAACTCTGCGGAGACTGAGCTCATGGCAGAGGGGGATTCACGGGGCCATAAATTCCTCTGGAAAGAAGAGCCCATACTCCTTAGCAGACAGAGTTCCGAAAGAGTTAAAGAATATTCCAGTCATCCTCATTCAGGAAAATCTTTGTAAAGAGGTAGGGAACTTGGGAAGAAAGAATATTACCTCTTATTATTTAATCATAAGTTTTCACAAATGGTATTCATCCACATGATCAGGAAGGAACCTCTCAATTTTACCTTATTTTCAGCTGAATTCAAAGGAATCAGAGATAAATAAAGTTCTCAGACTATTTATTTTGCTTTCAAACCAAACAAGGGAACAAATATTAAACTAACCTTCATTCTCACATTGAACATTTTGACTTATTTCTGGGTGTTTATTTTATTTAACTTTATCTGAAACTCCAAGATCCTGCTTTAAATAAGTCTTTTTGCAGTGATGTTCCTTTCTTTGTATGAGTACTTTAGGCAATAGACCTTTCTAAATAACTAATTCTACTCTGTTTAAACAGCATTGGTTTAGAAGTGGAACCATTTCCAAAGAAAAAAGGCATAGAATAGAGAAGGTGCTTTTGAAATACAAAATATTAATAAGCTAATATTTGCATATGCTATGATGAGTGTGAATTTGCTTACTAAACTAAAACAAAATTCAGTTGAATCTTTGTATTGCTAAGTATAATTTTCCTACCTCACTCCTTAATATTAGATTTATTTTTTTTAATAATTGCTGCTTTCAACATCCTAGATTCAAGAATCCTTTAAGTCAATGCCAATTTCTCTGATCTCCTAAAGGCTGAAAGAAAAAAAACATGATTAAATGTTAGAATTACATTTAAGACAAGACCTATCAGTTTGTCTTTACAAATAACTTTTTAATTTAATTAGTATGTACGCCCAAAATTCACACTCACTGCCACTGAGTCAGTGCTGACACACTGCAACCCTGTAGGAAGAGGAAAACTGCCCCGTGAGTGTGTGAGACTGCAGCTCTCTATGAGAGTAGAAAGCCCCACCTTTCTCCAATTATTATAGAAAAACATCTTGCAGTTAACCATCACATAGAGATGTATATAATAATTATAAATTATTTAATTTACCTTGGATTTTTTTTGAAACACTAAAAGGGTGACATTATTAATTGAACCAAATTGTACAGAATTTGAGAAGCCATGTCACTCAGGCATGAAGAAGATTAAACTAATGTTATTTCTACTTTCACAGAAATATAAGCTAGCAGGTACCTGGAAATTTAAGCCTAAGTTGAACTTTGGGTGCAGTTCTATAGTGTATTAGTCTAGGTACTTTAGAGAAACAAATCCACAGCAACTCATATATAAGAGAGTTTTATGTAAAGAAAGTGTGCATCACGAAAACATCCCAACCCAATGCTGCCCAAGCCCACAAGTCCAACAACCCATTAACCCAGCACCAGTCCACAAAGTCCTCCACCTCACAAAACAGAGGCAATGATGCCGACTGCAGGAGGAAAGCTGAGTCAGTGAATGAACAAGCATCTCAGCACTGGCAGGGGTCTCCACACGGCTGCTCCAGCACCCAGGACTGCATCGGGATAGGTCCATGTGGCTTCTCCTTGGGGATGTCTTGTAGGAAGTCAATCTTGCAAGCTGAAGCAGGGAACTGCTAAGGCAGCTGCACCCTGTGTGACCATCACAAAGCAAGAGACCCGAGAACTAGAAAGGCGAGGCTCACCACCCATTTATCCCTCCGCCTTTCAATTAACCCCACATGTGATTATCGGCCAGGTTGGCACAATTAACTAACTCATTAGGTATCCAGAATGTTCCCGTGAAGGAAAGAAGACTTTGTTAGCCAACTTGTTCTGTGCAGGAAAAGTGCAGTGTTCTTGTCCTCAACTATGAAGAGGCACGAGGACATGAGGAGTGAACAGCTATTGGTAGGTGGTTCTGGAAAGACTCTTCTTAGGAATAATTCTATCTTTCCCCGGGAGGCATGCGTGTGGTTGACATGAATTCTCTATTGTACTCTGAATAATAATGGCCAGCTATGTTTAGATTCTTCAAGTTCAACATTAAAAAAATTTTAAGTTTACAATTTTGGATGTTATTCTCCAAGTATTACACAACTGAAGGCCACAGCCCAAAGCAATGCTGATGTAGAAAGCACATGCTCATACACAGCAGAATGTGTATGTGGATTTAGAGATTAAAGGCAGAGCATTTCTCCTGCTTTTTAATAAACCTGTTGCCATCTAACGAATACTGATTTATAGTGACCCTATCCAAGCCAATGTGGTTGTGTTGCTCTTGACGTATCGTGACTCCAGAGGACAGCGCAGAACTGCTCCAGAGCAGTCCTAAGGCTGCGATCGTTGTTACAGCAAAACCACAGCCACGTCGTTCTTTCTCCGGTGGAGTGACTGCCAGGTTCAAACTGCCGGCCTGGCACTTAGCAACCGGCTGCTTAATCACTGTGCCATCAGTGTTCATTGCCATCTAATAATGACTTTGAAATAAATACACAGATAGAAGCTAAACACAGCTCTTTCTTATGATCTTCTTATTCATTAGCTGTGAAGCACCTTGTCATTTTTGTTACAGTTTTCTCTGAATGGGATATTTATTTCTTAGCCGCTGCAGCAAAGGAGTGTGTTCCTGGATCCAGCAGGCCATTTTGCATATGCTTTTCATGCTTTGCTTCAAACACAAGGGAATGAACATTATCAAGAAATTGATGGGTTGCCTCTATTTTACCTGGAAATATTTTTATGAAGATTTGAGATATGTATGCAATATGAACATTTTACGGACTGTTGCATTTTTAATTACTGTTCCATTGAGATAGAATTTTCAGTTGAATTTGTTGCAAGGTATTTTGGTTGAAAGCCTTGTTAGCCCTTCAGGGAGATATCATTTTAAAGTTAATTCCTTTCAGTATATGGGTCTGTGGAGTAGGATATACATTACAGTATTAAGTATTTGTAGGGAGCTTAAAACAGTCTCTCTGGGATTCTTTCTTGATAAATACAGTTAATGAAAAAATATCATAACACTAAATTGTTATATACAAAAGATACCCTTTTGCTTCTTATTCAAATACATGATACGTTAAACACACTGACTTCCCAAGATCCATGAATTCTTTCTTGAATTCTCTTTCTGGAGTTGACGGAAAGTTAACTCGCAGTCTTTTGTCACATACTCTTTTTCTAAGTGAGATTGTTGAATTTTAACTGTAGGTACTTAATACCTTACTGTGTTTCATCAATGTTTCTGAAAGTTAAATTTCTTTTTAAAAAATCCACTTAAGTCAGAACTATTAAATGAAATTCATTTAAAATGCCAGATAGCCATTGGCAATGTACCTTCAGAAATATTTTAGTGGGTTATGTAAACATCTATGGAAGAATTCTGCCAAACTTTGTGCTTATCACACTGCTACCCATTCAATCACAATTAGAATCTGCCCGCACTCAGATGGCTGGTGCAATGGTTACTTGAATACTACCTAAAAAAATTGGCGATTAGAATGCACGTAGGGGCTCCACTGGAGAAAGGCCTGCTCTTCTACAGATGAGTGACCAGAAAACCCCATGGCAGTTCTCCTCTCCCACAGGGGTTCACCTTGAATCATAATTGTTTCAACAGCACCCAGGCAGGAACCATGGTTTGTCATAGTGTGGGGAGCAATGCTACCAGTAATTCAAATATGAGCAGGGTCACTTATGGTAGATAGATCTCAACTGTGCTTCCAGACTGACAGACTTGGAAGACTGGCTTGGTGACATATTTCTAAAAAATAAGCAATGAAAACCCTGGAATTACAATAGAATACCATCTGATGATCCTCTTAGGCTGGAGGGGACTAAAAATACACAATGGCCTCAACCATGGACCAACAATTGTGAGATCATACAGGACTTAGCCGTCTGTGATCCCACTGTCCACGGACAGGGTCGCCGTGAGGCAGAGCTAGCACACGCACAACAGCCACAGCAATCATTGCTGATCCTGCTGCATCCACCGAAAGGTGATGAGGCTCTTACTTTGCAGAATGAATTTTATTGGCTTCAAATTCATTCTACTCAAATCTATGAACTATCTCACAATCTCTAAAGATAATTTATTATGTTGGTAATTTAAAAATATTTTTTGACTACAAAATTAATAGAAACTTATGTGAGTGATAAATTTGAGCACAAAAGGAAAATAATAGATTTTTACCCCCAACTTATCAGACTGAAACTTCAATTTAGGATACTGCAGAAGATTTAACATGTAGAAATATTGTGTTTTGGCATCTACTGCTTTGGTAGTTCTTATGCTATTGGTATGTTATTATTTGTTTGCATTAAACAAACTTTCCATGTTGTGAACATCGAATGAGGCACCAGGAAAACATGGAGAGGATATTTCATTTTCCTAACAGTGCGACCCCACCCAGTTGCCGAATTCCTAGTATGGTCTTCTGGAAAGTCTTTAATAGTCTCTGTATAGCATTTTCCTAAACTAGAGGCAATCACTGAAACCCCTGACTGTAGCCCTCTGAAAAGGCTCCGTGAGAAGGTAAGTGGACATAAGTAAGACGACATGACACTGAGACCTTTTCTTTTTGCCGCTTTTACATAGCAAACATTAGCAAGTGTGGAGTACTTACTAATTGAAATCACTTTTAAAAATTGTTTTATAGTGTCCTGATTCAGCTTGTAAGCAGGATTTATTAGCTTACCTTCAACGAATTGCCTTGTATTGCCATCAACTCAACATCTGCAGCAAGGTGAAGGCGGAAGTGCAGAATCTTGGAGGAGAGCTCATTGTGTCAGGGGTAAGCGGGGTCTTGGGCTTCTCAATGTAAAGGTCCCTCTGTTACACATCCCAAGCAGCATTCGGGGCAACAGTTCTTCTAAAAGCACTAAACTAAAGTGATTCGCAGGGAAGTGTTTTGGGTGGTGGTGTTTTTAATAAATGTTATCACTATTATTCCAGACTTTACAATAACTCACAAAGAGCAATTTGATTTTCCAATTATTCCATGTTTATACTAGCCTTGTAAAATCTCCATTCTTCACAAGAAAACTAATTTCATAGCCTGGAAACTCATTGCCAAGCTGTGCCTATTGTAATTATTTGGAGCTTTTGTATATTTACTCCTTGTGAGTCTACTTCCTTTTGTTCCTCCGAGTTGTTTTCAATCTCTGTTCTGGAGGCAGCTTCTCTCTGTGTGGATGGTGTGCCCACGTTAAAGGACATGACAACAATAGGTGTTCATTCTTTCAGGTGCCAATGCATACTAGGTATGAGGTAACCCTTGAAAGCCAGAAATTGTTTTAATTTTGTATAGGTTGATGTGCTGTTGCCAAAAACTAATTTCATTGTCAAACACTAAGAACTATATATCAGATGCTCAATCACTCTAATGTTGCTCTTCTCCGTACAATATAATTTTCTAGTCCATTTTCATTAAATACATAGACATGGAAAGTTCAACAAATATTTAGAAGAATCATAATTTCTTGGCAAGATTCCCAAATGTATGTGTTGAGGTTCTTCAGTTTGGCTCCTTTTCCCCCCTCGATCCCTTTCTGTCAGCACAGGGTGCCCTGCATTGTAAAGCGTGTATAAGCTCAGAGCTTGGGCTCTGCCACTTTTTGTTCTTTTCCCAGTCCCCAATGATGCTGTCATTTTAAGGGCGGCTTTACCAGTGCATACCATTATCAACATCGTGAAAGCTTTTCAAAAACCAGTGTGGAGCTGGAGCGTAATTGCTTCCTGAAGCCATTTCCAAAAATTCAACAGTTGGATCATTAGGTTAAAAAATTGTGGGAAAATGACTCTTGAACCCAAAGGCCTTATTTCCTACATTGTTCGCCTTGCGAAAACTATAGCTGGGAAAAGAGCTGATCTGGCTAGCATGGAGGTGCCATCTGGAAAAGCCCACTCCATGTAGCCCCATCCAGAGTACACTAAATTGGCTATTTTGTGCCTCTTCCCAAAGTACAGTCACCTCTTTGCATTTCCCAAATGGTACTGCTTCCACATTCTTCAACAGCCAAGAGCAATCTGTCTTGCATTGCGCTCTCTCTGCCAAGTGGGTGATTACGAGAAGCCTCTCAGCAAAGAAGCTATCCAAACACTGCATCTCCCTTGCTTTCTTTCTTATCTTCAGCCTCGACGGTATCGTTTCCCATACCATTCAGCTTCCATGTCCATCTGTACACAGCAACTGTGGAACGGAGTGCTTTTTGTTCAGTTTGCCTTGTGTGCTTCCATTTGTTACTTTCTAAATCTTATTATTTACATGGATGCTCAAAGCATCTTTGTGGATCTCAGACTCCACAACTTCATTCCGGATGATATTTTACCAGCAGAGTTGCTTTCCATCAGCCTCTCAGTACCCATTGTTAGTGGTCACTGCCTCCTGAGTTTCATCTCCATTGTCTTTTCCTCATATAGATGTAGCCTAAACCATCATTGGCTTTTGCTCACTTGCACTGTTGGCATTTGCAAAGGTGTTTGGCATTGAGAACACCATCAAGGAAGCCTGTTTCCTTCTTTGAGTTCTATTAACCACGCTCATAAATCCTTGCATGGGAGAAGGCTTCTTTTAGAGGAATGTTTGACAATGTATAATTCTCAGTCAAATGCATCATAAAGGTTTGCTATATATGGTGCAGTTTGGGGCCTGCTCTTGGCCTCTCATGATTTCCCCAAGCTTGATTGCTGTCTGGTGCCATTCCTGCATCTGTAGCCTGCTTGTCTTTGCCACTTCTGCCTCCATCTTATTCTTCATAGTCCTACACTGATGACCAATGGAGAAAGAACTCAATATGCTTATTTTGCAAAATAGCCATAAACAACCTCCTTAGAAATTCTGAAAGTCAAGAAAGTGAGACCCCCCACACACAAACATACTATGATTTTGCCAAGAAAATGCATCCATGCTTTGGCCACCATTTATTCTGTGGTTAGGCATGAAAAAGCATTGCTGTGTTGTAAAGAGGAAGCCATTGTCATTTAAGTGCAATAGGAAAAAAGAAGAAGATATATTTGATGTCTATTTTCCTTTTTCCTTGTGTGTTTCTAAAAGTGAAATTCAACCTGTGGTTTCTCCTCAGGAATATACGAAAGCCCTCAATAACATATACTTTGTTAGAGGTCAAATTATCTAAGACAAAATATATGTGGATATGTTGTTTTCCTTTTACCAAGGAAAATGGTTTGGATTTTAAAACAGAGAGCTAACAATTTGGCAGTTTGATGCTGGCATGATGATGATATTAAGTAAAACTCGTGCATGCATAGTTATGTACCATGCCAGTGTATTTATGTTTTATGAAATGCTACATGTACAAACTGGAAAAGGCTTCTTCAGTTTTATTTGCCCTTGACCTGAACGGGGGCAGAAAAATACATTACGCCATGGGAAAGGAGATGCACGAGCATTTCACAGGTCCTGATGGGAGTCAGAGAAGCAAAGCAGTCCGTAATGTCTGCCCAGTTCTATATCTTCTTGGTTACACAACTGCTCTCTAAGGAGCTTTATTAATTTGCTGTCTGGGAATCAATTTTTTTTTTTAACTCATTGGCTTCCTCTTTTCTCAGTAACCAAAAGGTGCCATGCTTGATACATGAATACATTGTAAAGTAGAGGATGCATTTTTGAGCATGTAGGACTCAAGCGGTACCAAGTGGCAAATGGAAAAACACAGCCAAGATTAAATATCAATAGAATGACAGAAATGTTCAATTGAAAAGTGGAGAAAGCAATCCTGAAGATAAAACAACGAATTAGTCTTATAAGTTAAATTCATTTACTTGATTAATTTATTTGCTGGCTTATGTACTACTCTCAAGGCAGTTTGCTTGATTGTATAACAAGGAGTGTTATTAAAAGTCAAGAAGAAAAACAAAGCATGAAGTAAGAAAGGTGAGAGAGAAAGAGGAATAAATGAAGGCAGGGAAGTAGGGAAGACAAAAAACAGGGCAATGCAAAATATAAATTAATTCAGTTAATTAATTAATGCACTGTAATAATTCAGTACGTAATGTCCAATAAACATTACAGCGTTATATTCATCTCAGAAAATTATGAAATATTAAGATGTTATTTTTAATATAAATATGTTCTAAACCGATAAAGATAGCCCAAGATATAGAAATTACCTGAATGTCGGATGATCATGCTTTTGACCGTGGTCAACTGTAAGATTATTTACTGGGCACTTTTTAGCTTTAAAATGAGAGATATACACCTGGGTCTGTGAAATAAAAAATATTCCATGACCTTTAAATTTCTCTATGCTTTGTGTGTTATTTTAAATGAGGTTTGAAACACTAAGGTGGAAATTTATAATTATGGACATTGGATATCAAGCATTGTGACAAAATTAAAAACTCTGCATAATTAAAAAATTTTGAATCTAGCCAGAGCCCTATTGTAAGCAATGAAACTAGCACAGGAGCGCTATACTGTTCTCAAGAAAGTAATTTGCTGCTCAGGTCAGAAATGGTGGGATTCCGCTATACTGCTCATGAACATGGTATAAGTGTTCATGAATGTTACTGCATGTAAATAGCTTTCTTCATACTAATAAAATCGTGGAAGAACAGAGTGAACCATCCGGCTGTGCGAGCAGAGTTGGGAGGTAAGGGATATCAGTGTAGAAGTCCTCTGTCTGCGTGACTGGAGACCTGAGCTACTGGGGAAAGAGTGAGGGGTCTGTCAGGTAGGCGGTAGTTTCTGACAGGGAGCTCTATTCCTTTTGTGCTTTGTCATTTAAATTTCCCCTTTCCAAATCTGAATCTCTCTCAATTGGACTGTGAAGATAAAATTGACGAGGTGAGCAAGTATAATTTGTGACCCACATAGGACTTAAATTGGCAGAGCAAATATAGAAAATCAGGGGTCAATGGCACTTTTTATTTGCTCATGTTTCGCATCATCAAAAACTTAATTGGACTCTAATTAAAATCAAATTGAATATTCATGATGATTAAAGAAATATACTCGTAAAGAAATTGAAAGTGAAAAATTCAGATGAAACCTACCTGAGATCGGTATTTAATTAAAAATTCATAGGGGTATTTACACACACACACACACACACACACACACACACACTGTGACATTTACTGCTTTACCAAACTAAAAAACATAAAGCAGAAATAGAGCAAAATAATTCTCAACTGTGATGTTCTCTGATCTGATATAATTTATAGTTTATTTGCACTATGCACTACACATGCACACACACACACTTGAGGGGCTTTTTAAAAGTTTATAGAATTAAAGATAATGAAATGATTATATGAACTTTTGAAACCCCTTCGGGCGTGTGTATTTTTTTTAATTGTCGGTTGTTGAGATGAGTATTAAATTTTATTTAACCAGTTCTGTGCTTTCCCTCCCCTCAAAAAGCCATTATTTAGTAAAAGGATGAAACAGGCATTGTAAGAAGCCTTATTACTAGTTATATAGACCTTTATTTACCATAAGCAATGACTTCTGGGTGGAAAGAGTCATTTTAATATCTTCTGATGCTGTCTAAAGTAAATTCTTGATTATCTCTACTGATCAACAGAAAAGGGCCAAAGTATTAGCTACTGTGTTTCTATTTCCATTTGGGTTCAGCCTGCATTTCTGTGCTTCATGTGAACATGACAATATGTACCCAGGGCAGCCACAAGGCTCAAAGGAATTTTATCTAAGGGGTAGGTAGTTCATTAAATATTTGGGCTTAAAGGATCTTTACTCACACAGGCAGATGAGGAAAGTCCAGTCCTATAAAGAGTAGATGGAACCCTGATGGTGTAGTGGTTACGCAT